AGAACCAAAGCACGTTTGTCACTGTCCCACTTCCATTTACTGGCTGTCTTTTTCCTCCTCACTAACACCCCCTTTGATCCTATCTTTTATGTATTGTATCTAATATGCACAGCAGCACAGACAAAGATCTAATTAGCACAACACAAATGGCAAGAAAATGCTGTAACTTGGTGTGCTGGTTTTTTGGTTTTTTTGTTTTGTTTTGTTTTGTTTTGTTTTGTTTTGTTTTGTTTTTGTCAACTTGACACATCTGGAAAGAAGGAATACAGTTGTGACCATCAGATAGGCCTATAGGCAAGTCTGCCAGGCAGTTTCTTGATTGGTGATTGATGTGGGAGTGCCCAGACAACTGGTTCAGTCCCATCCCTTGGAAGGTGGTTCTGGGTGGTGAAATAAGCAGGCTGAGCCACCCAAGGGGAGCAAGCTAGGAAGCAGCATTCCTTCATGGCTTATGCTTCAGTTTCTTTATTTTCTTCAGTTTGTTTCTCCCCCTTCAGGTTTCTGCCTTGAGTTCCTACCCTGATTCCTCTTCATGATGAACTAACTACAAACTGTAATCCAAAATAAACCCTTTCCTTCCCAACTCGAATTTTGGTCATGGTATTTTACCACAGCAACAGAAATCAAACTAGGGCAGTTGATTTCTTATAAGCAAGGCATGAATGAGATGCAGGCATTGGCAACCATGTTGTGTGCTTTTCATCATCAGTTAATACTTTCAAGTGTCTTCATGCTCATAAATGATATAAATGCATAGATATGAATGTAATAAAGTTTTTCACAATCTAAATTTAGACCAAAATAATCTACAAAATTTTAATATGCTTAGAAAATTCTCCTTAATACCCACGCCATTCTACAATGCTCCATATGTATTTAAGATGGAATTGTATCAGGGTAAATTCACACTGCCCATTGTCATATCCTGATAATTCTGTCTTTGACTCCTGATTGGTACTCTCTTTCAAAGGGCTCATTGAGTTGCACATGATACTAAAAGGTTTGACTACTTGTTACCAGGAAAGGTAATTGAATTGGGAAAAGTGCAAATACAGATTTCGATGTGGCTAGATCGAGGAACATGAACCACATAATCAAATCTCCTTTCTAAAAAAAATAATTTTAGCTGTCTGCACCAAATCACTATTTGTCTCCACTCGCTGATCCGTTCTTTGACTTCATTTGTGGTTCTCTCTGAGAGTTAGGAAACTTGTGATACAAGTTTCTGAATAGCTAACCTAACAGGGAGGCTGAAATCCCCCAAGTGAGAGCAGCAAAGGGCCATCTTCATATAAGGAAAGCAAAGAGAAGAGATGATAGAGAAGAATGTCCCCAGCTCTTAGAGACCCAGAATTTTGAAAAGGGAAGGGAGGGGTCCATGAGTCAACCAGTGGGAACCAAAGTCCTTTCTGCCCTACCCTGCAATAATGAAGCAGCATGCCCTACCTAGCCTCCTTTTACAGAGCTGTTTAGAGAGAGGGTGCTTAGGATGTAGCAAGGTTTCAGTTTAAGTTAATTACTTAAAAGAGAGGTTTCTGGTATAGATGGGGTTCCTAAGTAAAGAATTGCAATTCCAGGCAGATTGAAGAGAATACTAAGAGGAAGGACTCCTGTTAGCAGAGAAGCTGGGAGCTTTAGGACAAAGGGAAAGCCTGGTGCTAATAGATTGATTGCTCTTGTTGGGCTTCTGAGCATGGGCAAATTCTGAGGAGCACACAATGGCTCCTCAGCAACGGAAGGCTCAGAGGGCTTCAGTGAATGATCAGGATTTCTAGTCCCAGTCAAGAGGAAGACCCCATATTTCACAGTTGCAATATGTCTTCAAGTCCTTCCAAGGTCCTGAGTTCACAACATGCTTTGAGCCTAGTTTATTTTAACTAACATTTATCAGATTGACTTTGAATCACACCAAGTTCTATAATGTACAATATCAAAGAACTCCCATTGCTGGGTGTTGGTGGTGCACGCCTTTAATCCCAGCACTTGGGAGGCAGAGGCAGGTGGATCCCTGTGAGTTTGAGGCCAGCCTGGTCTCCAGAGCGAGTGCCAGGATAGGCTCCAAAGCTACCAGAGAAACCCTATCTCAAAAAACCAAAAAGAACTCCCATCACCTGTCTCTTTCAAGGCACCTCAAGTGCCTGTAAAATGTAGAGTGCAATATCCAGCATGATGACCTTCCTTTGCACTATCATGAGAAAAGATGGAGGGTGTTTCATACTAAATCCACAGATATAAAGTTTCCACAGAAAGATTGCAGGATGACTAATCACATCCGGAGGTACTCTCCCAGTGTTGGCCAAAGCCCATGTAATAAGATAGGCAAAACCTTTGTTCAAAGGGCACATGTGTGACTCAGCCACCCAAATTAATCATGACCATAGGCTGAACATCAAGTACTTGCCATGATCATAGTTTTTGGCTACCAGTAATGAAGGAGCAACTGACTTGGGGAAAATTCTACCTTCAAGATTCACATTCCAACATGTACTCACTGTCCACTTTTTATAAATAGTGCATGTACACACACACACACACACACACACACACACACACACACACATTGTGATAACAAATTACACACATGTACTCTTTCATAGATTTAGGGCCTGGAAGTGACAACAAGCCCTACTCAACGGCAACTGTATAGTAATTGATAAGACACATGAAAAATATATCTTCTGCTAATTGATCTGCATTGCAACTGGCAAATTATCATTAGAAAAGAAGGATACTATTTTGGAAAATAATAGAGTTGTTTATGGGTGGGATGCAATAAAAGAGAAATATAAAATAAGAAACCAGTATGTTAGTTACTTTTCTATTGCTACGATAAAACACTATGGCCAAAATCAAGTTCAGAATGAAAGGGTTTATTTCATCTTGCAGCTTATAGGTCATCACTGAAGGAAGTCAGACCAGAACTCAAGGCAGGAATAGAGGTCATGGAGGAGTACTGCTTGCTGGCTTGTTCCTCATGACTTGCTCAGCCTGATTTCTTATCGCAACCAGGACCACCTGTGTCATCCAACATCAATCATCCATCAAGAAAATGCTCTACAAACTTGCCTGAAAGCAAATCTATGGAGATATTTTCTTAATTAAGATTCCCTCTTCCCTAGGAATCCTATCTTGGGTCAAGTTGACATAAAAACTTAGCCAGCACAACCAAAATAGACAGAATAGAAAAAAACAACTGTGTCGCAACTATAAAAGAGCATAAGGAAATGAACTGTGGCCTTTCAAAGACCAAGCAAGTGAAATCTCTGCTAAGACACAGATCAAAACAAGTGTTTGGATGCTGCTGGCATTGAAACTTGGGAATGGATTAACTTGTCTAGGAATAAAGATGCAACTAATGGTGGAACTTACAAACCATCCTTTCATACTGTCAAAAGTGGCAAGATAAAGAGACTGGGAGCATGACTCCAAATCTCCCCCCACCCACCCAATAAAGTGGGGAGTATTCCTGAAAAATAAAACATGAAGGGGAAAGAAAGTCGGAGCTTAGAAGTTTGGCATGTTATTTGCCCCCCCCACACACACACACGCACACAGCTCTCATCTCAGTGAGAATAGAGATAGCTCATTCTAAAGTCAAATATGAGTGGTCATGACCCGGGAATATGAATTTAGGTTACATCAAATATTATGTTCTAATACTTCCATGATGTTTTTACAGTTGCATAACAAGAGAAAGTCAAAATCAAGGCACGAGGAAGACACATTTGTGAAATACTAAGTAGCTGGGTTACTGCAAAGAGGAGGAATCTCTGCTATAGGTCTCAGACATTGATGACAGTCTTTGTTTTGGATTGGTGAAAGTGGTTTGAAAACACACCCCATAACAATAACAGGGAGAGCAGGTAAGATATAGAAGTGGGCAATGAATGACCAGTTGAGAGGCTAAAGATAGCCCAAGATGATTCCTTTCTGAATCTGCAACATTCCAACTCTCCACAATCACAAAATTCTAATTAGTCAGTCAACCTTGTGTAACATTAACACAGGTGTGGTCTTTTTCTGGGAACTTGAGGTCACATGATGAACAGAATGAAACGGGTAAGAAACACAAACAAGTTTGGAGAAAATTCCCTGGCAGAGGATGTCTATGGCTGACTCAAGGACACTGTACCCTATGTGTGATGGAAAATCACCTGCGGTATTTGGCTTTTTTCAGATTGAGAAAAAAACTCATTCTTCAAAATAGACTTTTCTCAATCCAAGTGTGACATGGAGGCCTAAAGGATGAATCAGACTTCCAGAGTGTGGGGTTATAAGTCACCTAGAACAAGGGAATGAGTCTCTTGACAGCGAACACATGCTTAATGAGTGAGTACTCCGCATTTCCAGCTTGGAGACTCTTTTTTTGTTCAAGTGACCAACCCCCATGACTGCGAATTCCACAGTCATTCTTAGTCTTCATGGTGTGCAGATTGGGAGGAAACAACTTTTCAATTTACATAGTTTCATGACAAATGGAGCTACTTTCCCATTTGACATCTGGGCATCTAGTTTTGTGTTAGATGAAGAGAGTGGGAAACTCCAAGACTGCCTGTCTTATGATGCTGTTGAATGTGGGATTGAGAAAGACATGAGGAAAGTTAACTTGTTTTATCAGAAGATTCATCTATGACTAACTGCAACCATTCATAAAAACCTCCTCCCACCAGGCGTTGGTGGTACACGCCTTTAATCCCAGCACTCGGGAGGCAGAGGCACGAGGAACTCTTTGAGTTCAAGGCCAGCTTTGTCTCCAGAGCAAGTGCCAGGATAGGCTCCAAAGCTACAAAGAGAAACCATGTCTCGAAAAACCAAAAAAAAAAACCAAAAACCAAAAAACAAAAAAAACTCCTCCCTCCAGTTTCACTGTAAAACTGTGTTCTCTTCCAGAAGTTATGTGCACTTCTGTGAGATGCTTTGTGTCCTGTTTGATGTGTGTTGCTGTCATAAAATACCTTGACTAAAAGCAAGTTAGAGGAGAAAAGGATTACATGACTTACAGTTCCGGGTTGGAGTTCATTGTTGCAGGAAATCCAAAGCAGGAGCTTGAAGCTGATAACTACATCCAATCCAAGAGGAAAGAGAGAAAGAGAGAAAGAGAGAGAGAGAGAGAGAGAGAGAGAGAGAGAGGAACAATGCATACCTACTGCTCATTTCACTTTCTCTATTATACAGTCCAGGGCCCCAAACCAGGGAATGGTGCTAAGCACCCTCAGACTGGGTCTTCCCACATCAGGAAAGACAATCAAGACTATTCCCCACACATATGCCCATGTGCCACCCTGATCTAGACAATCACCCCTTCACTGTGATTTTCTTCCCAGATGACTCTAGGTTACACCACATTGACAATTAAAGCTAACTATGTGTGATTTATGTCTCTTGTAAGTAGACACATGTAACTGTAGTCCCTTGGCTCCATAAGTCCTGTTACTCATTGTGACAATTTTGGAAACATATACAATAATGCTATGAAAGGGAAGGTACCATGCCCAGCAATCCAATTAGGGATACTCCAATCCAGAGTGTCACCTTAGAGAGTGGTGTAAGGGAGATTTCAGTTCTGCCTTTGATATTTCCTTTTGTCTAGCCACATCAAAAGTAAAATCTACATAAATAGCTTCTGATTATCAAACTTATTTTCCTAAGTACTCTTTTACCCTAAAAGAAAATTTAAAATAGGTCATAACACATGACATTCAGTACTTGATATGGCACATTATTTTATATCCAGTTATTTTTTTCTTTAAAAATAACACTTAAGAGCCTTCATATAGTTTCAGGACAACAGACTTCACCCTAAATCCTCTCACTGAATAGTCTTCTACTTAAGAAGAAAATGGGCAAGAGTAATATTCTCAGGGTTTTTTTTTAATGACTACTTGGAAATTTAATGTCATTATTGTCTACTTTTCAGTATGAATCCATCTCCCTCAAACCCCAGGCATTTTACTTGATCTGGTGAGTGAAAAAGTTCTGTAGACCAAGAAAATAACTGAGCTTTCAGATATGTGAGAAATACTTTGACAGTTCTCCCTGTCAACCCCCCTCTAGCTATAAAGATGCATTTCTTCTCCTCCCCAGCTCTGCTGTCACTTTGAAAGGCATCCAACAAATTGGCCATACCTATCATAGTTACCCGTAGGCAAAAGAGTCAAGAGTGCCAGAGAGAGGAAGACAGAGTTCATGAATTCAGATTATGGTACCTTTCTTTAAAGCCACATTAGCATGCTCCATAACCAAATACGACAAGCTAAGTTATATCCTTGCTATTGTTATTATTTGAAACAAATCCCTTGCTAATGAGTTGTTGTCTAAACGTCGTGCTTCAGAAAAGAGCACTTCTGTGGAGGCTTTTGCCAACAAAGAAATCACTCCATCTTGTTTCACGTTAAGTCTTGTCCATGCCTCATATGTCACTACTTAGCTTGAGCCAAGATATTAGACAAGTGTCTCTTGGTTTATCCATGGCCATAATGAATTGCACATATTTCAGCTGTTGCGGCGTGTTTTAGGCATTTTATCTTTGGGAACCCCCATTGGACACTTGATGGTAAAGGTTTCCAGGCTCTGCCAGCAGTGAAACATGTGTGCTTCCAGAAGAAGGGCATTTACATCTTTAAGGACATGCTTGTCTTGAAGGCTCACATATGGATCACAAATTGCCAGGCGCACATGCGGATGCTGGTCCAGCATGGGCCATACAGAATCACGTCCCATCCTTTGATTATGTACTGTCTTGTCCGTGTCTGGATGACTTTTCAGAAGCTGACAGAGCTTTTACAATTTAATTGGTGTTGACACCTTTTGAAGCCATGCCTTGAGGCACTCAGGGTCATTGTCTGCTTTCTCTGCTTCTCTCCAATGCCTCCACTTGGCTACCTCACAGCCTGTGGTGCCTGGCTGGCCCCTGCACTTTTTATTCATGTTCCTACTTGTTCTGGGTCCTGTTACAAGAGCCCTTGTTAAATGCCCAGCAGGCAGCGGTGAATGGAGATTTTGACTATGTGGGATTTGAGGCCTCTGGCAATAATGGAGAATGAAATAAATATAAAAGTATCCCTGTTGTGGACTGTGTTGTTATCACCAAAGATTTATTCCAGAGGACCTCGGACCTCAGGTACTCTCTGTGCGTGCTCGGCATGCTGGCGGCAGGGCTTACAATTAGCTCTCTGCTCTCCATGCTTGCCATTCTTTATGACATTTCCTCCTGTTCCAAATTGGTATACTCTTTGTTTTAGCAATACACTCGCCAGAAGCAGTTGCTGGTGTGTTATTAGAGTTCTGAATTGTCCTCCAACTTTGCTACTTCAGTTTAAGGATGAGAAAAGCAAACAAAACCAGAGAATCCCACCTTGTTTTCCTGGCTCAGTTCTGTACAAGGATCTCTCTCCCCATCCAAGAGTCATAGTTATTGGGCAACATGGTTCTTACTTCCTAAACAGTGGCAGACTGTGTAGCTCTCATCTGCTTAGCTCTTGGGTCCTAGAGAAGGGCAGGCTGTGTATGTCTGACCTTCTACAGAGCTTTGCTCATCTTGCCACTTAAAAAAAAATACCAAGATCTCCAGAGCTAGAGTTATTATCTGCCTACAAACTTTAGTAGACAAGCAAGAAAATTCTTCATTCACAAAACAGACTAAAATTGTCTATGAAAATATTAATGTCCTTAAAAAGCTTTTGCTTTGATATAAATGTATTAAGCTAGATGTTGGACTATTTAAAAATACATCTTAAGAAGGCTACCACCTTCCTTTGTAATTTGTTCGTCGGGTTGAGAAAATGTGTCAGAGAGACAAAGCCTATTCTATAAATCTGTGTGAGAATGCTCATACAAAATAAGCTTAGTTAAACAGGGCACTATATCAAGTGCTCAGATTTGTACATAATATAAATTTGTTGACTTTATAATAAGCTAGTCATGAATAAGCAAAAATATGGGCGTCAACTATACCTTTGCAATGACCTGTATACGAAACATTTCCAATGATGAACATATTAGTTGAAAATTCATGACACATGTTACTGCCATTTGATATTTATCACTAAACCAAGTTGTGGGTAAACATTCTTTGTTTCCACACAAAATATTTAACCTCCTACAGAACTACAGAAACAACCATAAAGGTAGACCAAATCTCACACAGGGTGGTAGAGAACATGGCAGTGATCCTAGTCCTCTGAGGCTGAGGTGGGAGGATCAGGAGTTTAAGAGGTGATGGGAATTACATAGTGAATTCCAGAGTGTAAGGAGGGGATAAGTTCAGTGGCTGAGGAAATATTTGAACCAAGCTGTTATCTTTTAAATAATCAAGGAAATTCAGAAACATTTTTAGGTATACTTCATAAGGAGGAGCAAAATCACAAACAATTATGAGCTTGCTAATCCTGAATGTTACCAATAGTAGTAGAATTTGAGGGTGAGGGTAGATGTGTGACTCCACCCACATCCCAAGTATAGAGAAGACAACAGAGTTGTCATTGGTTTTCCCAAGGCTCAGCATTCCCATGACCCATCACATCACTCTTAAGTCCTATAGCCTTAGGAAATCATTTAACTTCTCTTTGGCATAATTTCTTCATCTACAAAACTAAAACGTCAACTTTTCCAGGATTGTGTGAATGACAGAGTGGAAAATACTGTCCCAAAAGTCCTTCATACAACATAAAATTTGACTGGATTTGGTCATGTGGTCTTTGCATTTGTTTGGTATAGTTGTTGATGATGATTTTGTAAGCTGTGGAACAATACCAAACCTTTTGTATCACAGATCATTAATGTGTCCTAAAGTCTCCACAGCTGCCTTCTCCTCCCCAGGAACGTGGGGGGAAAAACCGGGATATCCCCAACCCCAAGAAACACAAATATGTATTGGGCATTGATCATTTTGCTATTTAGAGAAACCCTCAGGAATTGCTTTAGAGCTATACCTACAAATCGTTTGTGATGGTTAATGTTTACTGCCAAAATGGTAGACTTGGTGAGTCACCTGGGAGATGGGTATACTTATAGGGCAGTGTTCTCAACCTGTGAGTTGTGACCCCTTTGGCAAACATCTCTCTCCGGGAATATTTACATTATGGTTCATACCAGTATCAAAATTACAGTTTTGAAGTAGCAACAAAAATAATTTTGCGGGGTCACCGCAACATGAGGAACTGTATTAAAGGGTCACAGCATTAGGAAGGTTGAAAACTGCTGCTGTAGGGGATTGTCTTGAGGACACAGACTGAGATGGGAAGACACACATGCCATGATGGCACCATTCTCTGACCAGGATCCTGGCCTGTAGATATAAATGGAAGGTGAGAGCTGAACAGTGGTGCTCACCAAACTACTTCCTCACTTCAGATGTGATGTGATCAGCTGCTTCAAGCCCCAGCTGTCTTAACTTCTTTACCTTGAATCTGAGCTAAATTACCCTTTTCTCCCTCGAACTGCTTTTGTCAGATTATTTGACAACAGCAATGGGAAAAGAAACTCAGACACCCTTGTTGTGATGGAGAAACTTGTATGAAAATGAAAGGAATCTACAGGGAAGAAAAGGGGTTTTAAATGTGAGGTATGCCATTAAGGACAACAACACACTAATGGGTGTGAGTGAGGAAAAGTTGGAGTATCCTACACAATAAGAAGTCTACGTGACTTCTACAACAGTCATGTAGAAGCAGTGAATCAGCAGAAGTCCTAACTATCTCAAAAACAGTGGTCTGCTTCCATGCATATAGACTTCCATCACGTTTGCCTGAATGTCTATTTCTAAGTCCTGTAGCTAAGATTGTTTGGAGGGATAAGGTGTAGTTTGGGTCCTTAAGCTCATAATCTACAAAGCCCCTTTGCTCTGTTCACCTCTCTGGAATCCCATACAGACATCTGTCAAATCACTACAACACTTTAGTAGCCTCATCTGCTTCCCCACTAGATAACAATTTCCACAGAGAGGAGAGGGCATGCTTATTCACTTTTGCCTATCAGGCAAACTAACCATGCCTAGTGTCTAAAATTTATGAAGTGTGTGTGTGTGAAATGAATACTAAGGACTGAGTGAACAGAGAAGCGCCATGCACAGATAGTGCCATGAGTGATCCAGAACATGAAAAGACTCCATA